CCTTCCCTGGTTAACTGTCAGCTATTCATGGATGCTAGAGAAGAAAGAGGATTCATTCTCTTGAGTTATGTATCTGCTGGTGGATCCACCAAGCTCCAATGTATAACTCCACACTCATGGTCATGATAATGGCCATAGTTAAACTCAGTGGGTCAGAAAACAAAACAAAAGGACATGAAGTTGGGAAAGAGCCTGTAGAGAGGAGGGGGTGCTGATGGAGTAGGAGGGAGATAAAAAAGGTAGAGGAATAAGAGAATTTCAGGGCATTCTATACATGTACAATATTTTCTTGTTTTTTTTGGTTTTTTTTGTTTTTTTTTTTGGTTTTTCGAGACAGGGTTTCTCTGTGTAGCTTTGTGCCTCTCCTGGAACTCACTTGGTAGCCCAGGCTGGCCTCGAACTCACAGAGATCCGCCTGGCTCTGCCTCCCGAGTGCTGGGATTAAAGGCGTGCGCCACCACCGCCCGGCATGTACAATATTTTCAAAGAATAAATTTAATAAAAAAGAGAATGGAAAAACACAGAGATCTTTAAAAAATGATTTGCAAGGCACACAAATTTTAAAGTAGTAACTGGTAGGTTTAGTTGTTTATTAAATACAAATTAGAACTAAAACTTATTAAAATTATCATGACATTAGGTGTTTTGTATCATTTTTCTCATTAAAATTTCAAATGTAAAAATATATACTGTATGAAATTCTAAAAGAATAAATTTTAAAAAAGAAAAAGTAAAGCAAGAGTTTTTGTTTGTTTGTTTGTTTTTTGAGACAGGGTTCTCTGTGTAATAGTCTTGGTTGTCCTAGAACTCACTCTGTAGACCAGACTGGCCTTGAACTCACAGAAATCTGCCTGCCTCTTTAATCCCAAATCAGCACTTGGGATTAAAGGTGTGTGCCACCATTGCCCAGCCAGAGTTGTTTTAAAAGGAAAGAAGTCCCAGTAGTCTTCAGAGTAGTTATCTATCACCATAGTAACGTACGATCAAAGAGTACTGCTGGCATGTAATTAGCATATGTCTACTGCTCATGTCTCTAGGATCAGCTCAAGGTTGGCAATGTGGCTCTAGGGATTTTGGTTGGGTTGGTAAAATATCTAGTGATTAACTGGATGTTGGTCTCCAGTCTGCTTGCCTCACTTCCAGCAGGCATTCCTCATAGTGACAGCAAAATCAAAGAGGGTCAAGCTCAACTATGCGAGCCTTTTATGACTCTGCTTGTGTTATAATGTCCAAAGCGTGTAGGTCAGAGTATCATCTCACTGTAGGAAATGGAGAATAGAGGATGAAGGTGTAGCTTCAGAAAGGAGGTAAGAATGGACACGCTTGTAAGTAATACACTACAATCTTAGGAAGGAGTTACTTTTCTTGTTTTTGCATTTTGGTTTTTTGAGTCAGGGTCTCTATGTACCCCTGGCTGTCCTAGAACTCACCTTGTAGACCAGGCTGGCCTTGAACTCACAGAGATCTGCTTGCTTCTGCTTCCCAAATTCTGAGATTAAAGGTGAAACAGTTACTTCTGATGGTCATTTAGTCTTTGCTGTTGAAAGAGTAAGACTTAAAGAAGAGAAGTAACCCTCTGTATAAACAAGCATAAGAGTGTATACCAGGTAATAGTCATGGCCTGTCTATTATTGTATTTAAAAATATTAGGCATTGACTACTGTATACAGAGCAACAACAAAAACTCTGTAAGATTACTTTTGGCAGTGAAATAGGAAATACAATTTCTTGGGCATATCTGATTTGCCCAATTGTTTGAGTAAGCAAATCCTAATTTGAACACATTTTAATATTAACTCTATATATTATAAAACCTTTCCTGCTGTGTCCTCTCAGGTGTTAGAAGATTTTAAAGGCAGATTTAGTAGTATCCAGCCCCGTCTGTGTTTACTTCAGGGAAGACCAACATATTTCCTTCTTGCTTCTAAATCTGAATTGTTTTTTCTGTTACTACATGCTCAAGTCCTGTCTTCATGTGAATTCCTCTCTCTCTATCCTCTTCAGTGAGGCCAAGGCTCTTGCTCTACCTTCCCCTTGCTTTCTTACTACCTTTTAAACGACCACCTCCAGGCACCTTTTAGGAGAAAGGATGCTGGTGGGGTGCATAACTGAGTCACCCTAAAGTCATGGGCCAGATCTCAAGTAGATATGAACATGTCATTATATTGTCTGACAGTGAACTCCAGGAGGCTCTGAGCACAGGAATCAACATGTAACCAGTACAATAGTCTCCCCTTTGCCACAGTTTCACCTTTTTTTTTTTTTTTTTTTTTTTTTTTTTTTTTTTTTTTTACTTTCAGTGACCCTTGGTCAAACACAATCCCAAAATATTAGATGGAAGATTCTACAAGGCCTAGAAACAAGGTGTACATTAAAAAAAATATGCTTTATTCTGAGTAGTGTGATGAAACCTGGCACCGTCTTGCTCTGTCTAGCACCGTGAGTCACTGCTTTGTTTAGCATATCCGTGTCTGCCCCGAGTTACTCAATAGCTTTCTAGGATATCAGAAATAGAAGGTTCAGGGTCATCTTTGGTTGCAAGCATTCGCGGGGGATCTTGGAACATATTTTCTGTGGATAAGGGGGAACTATTATATTAAATAAATAATCATTTGATTAAAGCTAATGAGTGACAGTGATTGAGTGATTGGCAAATCTTGTCTGTTTCATTTACTACTCAGGTAACTTGGAGGAAGTGAACTTTTTATGTTTTTTTTTTTTTTTAGTTTCAAGCTTAAATTAGGAATATAAAAGTAGAGTGATACATGAAAATCATGGCAAGTAGGGTATAGTAACACACACCTTTAACCCCACCACTCAGGAGGCAGAGACAGATGGCTATCTGTGAATTTAATGCCTCTTTGGTCTACATAGCAAATTCTAGGACATCAAGAACTACATAATGAGACCTTGTCTAGAAAACAAATAAAAGAAAGAAAAAAAGAACATGGCAGTTTTATATTATTATTATTATTATTATTATTATTATCATCATTATTACTGTTAGAAGCTTTTAGGGTACAAGGAAGAACTATGTTACAGATTGAATCATGTCTCCCAAAGAAGATATACTATCTTAGAATGTGACCTTATTTGGAATTAAAATTAAGTTCAAATGAGGTCATTTGGATGAGTCCTAATTCTCTGTGACTTTTGTCACAATAAAAAAGAAATTTGGACAGAGAGAGAGAGAGAGAGAGAGAGAGAGAGAGAGAGAGAGAGAGAGAGAGAGAGAATACCATGCAATGAAGGGAGAAAACGATATACAAGTCAAGGACTTTTACCAGAATCTTGGAGACACACAAGGAACAAATTCTCAAAATCACCAGAAAGAACCAACTTCTGACAACTTTGATCCATTGCTGCTCTGTTGAAGCCACTGATTTTGCATTACTTCACAAACTCCTGAAGAGTAGCTGTGGGGACAGGCCACCTATGCTTGCCTTTGAATACACATCAGGTGTGCGTTCTTGGTTTCCCAATGACACATTCCCAATGACACATTTTTCAGCTGTGATCTCTCTACACATCCTACCCTAATGGTGATGCCTGCTCCGGAGCTCAGGACCCTAAAGGGTATTTTGTGGCAGAGCATCCTTTTAGCCCCCAGATAATGCTTAGTGGCTTTCAGTAAGTCAGTTTTCCTTGTCTTTAATTCTTCTCCAACATAATCAGTCAGGCAAACACTGGTCTATCCCAACCATAGAATTAATTATTCATGAGCATTGATAAAGATCTGTCTGATTGCCTCAATTTCCTTCATATATCCTGTTATAGAATTGTCCCTTATAAACATATAAAACTGTACCTTTTTTAAAAAAAGATTTATTTATTTTATGTGTATGAGTGTTCTGTCTGCATGTATGCCTGCAAGCCAGAAGAGGATATCAGATCCCACTACAGACGGCTGTGAGTCGCCAAGTGGTTGCTGGGAATTGTGGTTGCTGGGAATTGAACTCAGGACCTCTGGAAGAGCAGCCAGTGCTCTTAACTGTTGAGTCATCTCTCCAGCCCTTAAAACTGTACCTTTAATATCAGCTGAGTGTCACCTTTTCTTTAACAGTACATAATTAACAAGTGTTGCACTGTGTGGAAAATATGACCACAGAAGTCAGAAGCTGTGGAGTGTAATCTTGATTTTAGGATGATGACTAGATTGAGACACAATAACATAGCCTACTCCTTCCCATATATTATGAGCTAAGAGAAAAATTAGCTTTGGTTAGGAAAAATCTGAAGTCTGGCATGTGTGTGAAAATGTATCAACATGTGTTACTGACACATAGTCAGTCCCACCTGTTTTCCATTCTCTCATTCCTACTCACACCTTTTTGAACAAACATTTTTTTCCCTCAAAGAATAAATCAAATCTGCTTATATAGTGAGAGCCACATGGTTGGTCTTTTGCAGGCTTTGAAAGACTTGTGTTTACATTGGTTCTTTGTGACATTTGCTCAGTGCTAACTCTCCGAGGGCCGTGTCTGAAGTTTTCTTAACAGGTAGGATTTCCTACAAACCACTGTCTCCCTGTTCTGCATAAAGGACAATTATGAAATAAAGCTCATATGGTTTGGATAGAGTCCTAATAGGCATGTACAAGGAAATTGTTTTAAAATCTGCTCCTTTGTTCAGGGATTTGTAAGTGTAACAATAATGACTTTCTTTTGAGGTTTGTTTGCCTGGAAGCTAGTATCCTTCTGTGTTGTTTTATTGCTTACACTATTCATCAAGAGCACAGGCTTGATAAAGATTTTCGTGTGTTACCATAGACTTTTTTTTTTTTAAAGATTTATTTATTTATTATGTATACAGTATTCTGCCTGCATGTGTCCTTGCAGGCCAGAAGAGGGCACCAGATCTCATTACAAGTGGTTGTGAGCCACCATGTGGTTGCTGGGAATTGAACTCAGGACCTCTGGAAGAGCAGTCGGTGCTCTTAACCACTGAGCCACCTCTCCAGCCCCTCATAGACTTCTTTTTGCAATAAGGAACATACTCAGTGCCATACCAAAGTGAGTTTATTGACATTCCTTGAAGATGTATGATGGAAGAGAAAGCGAGGCCTGAGTATCACGTGACATTTCTTTTGTAGATGTAAGCAAAATCAGCCCAGTAGTATGGACGTCTCCTGTTATTGACTAGAACAAAGACTTGTAAACAAAATTGTTATGGACATTTCCTTAGATAATGGAAGCCGCAGAAAGTAGACTAATGGAACAATATTTACTCTACATACTACCTCTAGGCACCTTTTATCTACTAGAACAAAGGGACTACATGTCATTAACAGGAAAATAATACTTTCTCTTTTGGACCTTGTGATAGCTGGAATAGTCATCCTGCACATTTATGATACAGTATTGCAGTAGTTTTAATAACGAACACTGAAAGACATAATAGTAATAATAATAACAACAACAAGAATAATAATAAAGCACCACATTTTGTTATGTAAAGTTCTAACTACTTTCATTTGAAAGTGTTTCATCTTGACTGGGAAAACATTTGTGGCAACTTAGAAATTTTCTGAACCCAAATCTTAGACATGTGGCTTGGTACATAGACTGACGATGAGATTGCATACTGTTAGAAGTTTCATGAAAAGCTCAGCTCACTGGCTTGCCATACAAACATTCTTACTGTTGAATGATGTGGCTTCATTATTAACAGGAAAATATTTAAATCTTTCATGATTAAAGCTTGCCAAAATATCATTTAGCATTTCATTTTTTTCATTAGCTTTCTCAAAATATTTGTGCTATAATAGTGATGTTAGTAAAAATTATCACAATGTCCTTCAGCTCATGTACACAGGATGTCAGAGAGCATTCAGTAGTTCTAGAATAGCTCTGATTGTGTAGACTCAATTTCTATTGGGGAGATTATCATCTTCATGTTACTAAATATTGTCTCCCAATAAAGGATATTATACTCATAAAACTAGATATAAAAAAAATCTTGTTTTAGGGGTGTTATGACTTGTGATTATTTTGCAATTGCCTTTATGGAGAAAAAAAGTTCAAGATTACATATGGTCACAAAAGATCTGTGTTACGCAAAGAATTATATGATTTGAGGTGATTTATATCTTCTACCATTAAAATGAATAGAAAAATTATTTCTACAGTGATTTCCTTATGTGTAAGTGTATATACGTATAAACATATAGTTATATGTATAAACCTATAGTTATATGCTTATATGTATATATTTTGAAATTATGCATAATTTTAAAATTGGTCTCACATATGACTTAAAAAGTGTCTTTCCATGACTAATTTCTCAGCTCCTCCTTTTGATTTCCTTCCTCCCTGCAAGGCTGAAATCATAAGTTGGGCTCGCTCTCTGAAGCAAGCCTTACATTCAGTAACTTTGGTGCTGGTATCGATGCCATTTTTCATTTTTCTAAAATACTATTGCTATTTGGAGAGGGCTTCATAAGGCCCCCAAACCTGGCTAAGGAGCTATTGGCAGCTAATGACTTTTGAGAGTCAGTTTTCTTCCTTCCTTCTTTTTTCAAAACAGAGTCTCTATATAACTCTGAATGTCCTGGATCTTGCTCTGTAGACCAGGCTGGCCTCCAACTCACAGAGATCTTCCTGCCTCTGCCTCCTAAGTGCTGGGATTAAAGGTGTGTGCCACTACATCCCAGCTATGAGAGTCAGTTTTTTGTTTTTTCACATGCAAGGTGTGTCTATATCCTCCAGGGGATGGCCTCACATGTTTATTGACAGCACAAATTGGACTCCACGGGTTATAAAGGAAAAGATGGCATGAAATTGAGAAGGGACTGAAGGCTGAGGAGTGGATTTGAAGGAGTTAGGGAGAAGTGTGTTGGATGAATATGATTTAAATACATTGTAAACATTCTCAAATAATTAATAAAAAGATTATATTAAAAAATACTACTGCTGAGACTGGAAAGATGGCTCAGAGGTTAAGAGCACTGACTGCTCTTCCAGAGGTCCTGAGTTCAATTCCCAGCAACCACAGGGTGGCTCACAACCATCTATAATGGGATTTGCTGTCCTCTTCTGACATGCAGGCATACATGAAGGCAGAACACTGTATAGACAATAAATAAATAAATCTTAAAAAAATAGAAATACTATTGCTATTATGCTTGCTTGTTGGGATTTATGTAGAGCCTGGCATTAGGTTAGAGGTATAACTAAAAATTAGCAAAAACAAAAAAAAAAAAAAAACCAACCAAACAAAAAAACCCCAAACATTTATCTGAGTTTCTTATTCACATGAAATTTCTAAGATAACTTGTCCCTTTTGTATGTTGGTAGACTAAATAGTAAACTAATTTATAGATTGTCTCATTTTTGTAAATTGCAAGGCTCTCAGGAGCTGCTTCCTACATTTGAACAACTTCCTCCTTTTCAACGTATGGCAAGTGCTAAAAATGTTGAATGCTTAAATAAACGAGTTTTTGTGTATGTATACGATGAATGCTGTTTAAAGGGTTAAATATTTATTGAAAGTGATTTTATTAGTCCTTTAGTTCTGATTTCATTAATAAAGAACAGCTTCATTGGAATTCATTGTTTTTCAGATACTGAAATATGGACCAAATTTTACCCATCCCTAAGCTGTCTATCATACAACTTATACTCCATTTTTAGTAAAACTTCGATTTAGACAACAATGGAAAGCTAAGTTTCTGCTATGTGTACTTCCTGTTTGACAACAGATATACAGGAGCAAGGAGTGCTTGGCATTGTGAATAATTTTTACTAAGAAAATGTTTAGAGTGCAGGACATAATGCACTGGTGTAATGAGCCATGAGACACGGCCTCATCTTTAGTTAACTTTACATTCGCAGACGTTCCCCTTTGTTTTAATTTGTTGACTACAGCAATGGATATTCAAATAGTTGAGTCTCTTTAGCTTTTCTTTTTCCCAGTGAAGAAAAACACTTTCATTTGTGTCATATTTCAGACAACATGGATAACATGGTTACAAAAATAGCAAATGACCATTATGGTTAGGTTTATCTCAAATGTAATCAAGATGTCAGGCTGTTTGTGGAGCCTGAAATTGTTTTCCTAAAAACACATTTTCTTAGATATTTCACTAAATGCTAAAAAAAAATGGTGTTTTTGGACACAAGTCAGTGTGTCTTCAGACAATTGCTATGGACGAAGGAGGAGTTCATATTGCCCATGGTCCCTAACAAGCACCGTCACTCTCCGCAGCTCCTCACGTGTTTCTGTGAACATCAGATGTGACAGGATGTGAACAACCATGATTAAAACAAGGAAAGAAAAAAGAATGAGAAAAGTATCAAAGGTAAAAAAGAACTAAAAGGTTTACCTGTCAAGTCAAGAAACCTGGCTTCAAACAAAAGCCATGAGATCTATTTGGACTATGTGTGTGAGAACAGATTAAACAAAATTCATGTATTTAAGTAAATGTCATATGTCCTGTTCTTTTTCCTGTTTGCCTTATCACTTTCTGTGTAACAATATTGGAGTTAAAGGGTCATCCTTCAGTCCACAGCAATTAAGATTTCCTCCTTGAACATGGTGCACAAGTTTGTGCTTCTCGTGTGGTGAGTGTTCACTAGGGTGCTTCCCCCACCATGCTTTTCTCATGTTGAGTTCACAGTCCTTATAACTATTGGACTTACTGGTAACCTTTATTTTCTTGCTGTTGTTAATTGCTGGAAGTTCCTTATTTGCACCATATGTCTAGGCTAGTTCTGGATGATGGGATTGATGCCACATATGAATCATGAGTTGGATGAAGAAAAATCTGTGTGGCCTTGGCTGTCCATTGAATGGATAGAATGCATAGGAAATGCAGAGATAGAGAGGAAAAAATTAGTCAGCTCCTAGGTCTGGAAATGTTTGTTAGAAATTATGAAAAATGGTGGTTCTGCTTGGAAGTCGTGGGCATATAAAAGCATGGAATGCTTACAGCTCAAATTATCCTTAAATGATAGAAATGGAAGTAAACATTTATTATCATTTCGTCAAGTGTAGCATAACTTGCACTTGTATTTCACTGTTAGGAATGGAGGTATGTGGAGGTATGCACAGACCTTGAGACAGCTGTTTTGTAGTATTGCATACAGGCTAGCAGTTCATTGGAAACAGAGGAGATAAGCCTGAAGATTAGATCTTAGAAGAAGGCAATTCTTCATGCACAGCTTTTGCCAATTCTAATTTGCTTTGAAATAAAAACCATGGAATACCAAAGTCAAAGGAGGGAGAGGAAGTCATCCCAGAAAGGGTGGCGTCACTGTTCAGGACAGTGTCAGGCAAAGTTCCACTTCCTCACTCCAGTCCAAAGGTGCTGGTTTCTTCTACTGCGGTTAACAGCTTTTCATACAACATGGAGTATGAAGGATATGGTGGGAGATCCAATCGATTGAAGCATGTGTGTGCCCTAAATGGGGGAGAAAATACTGGTCAGAGTATTTTAAGTACTGCTTCTGGATACAACAACAACTTTAAAGGGGAACCAAAGCAGGCCAGATAATGATTTAGGACAATCACAAAACACTGCAAATGGTAAACTATGACCATTGAGACACGACAAGTTTAGGAAATTGAAGAACTAGAAACAATTAATTGTTATTTGTAAGAAAACTACACTACATTATAACCACAGTAGAAAGCCAGTGGTCACCTCCATGCTATTAAACTGATTTGAAGTTTAAATATGAAGGAGGCAGAAACATCATTAGTGCTAATGGATCATTCCTAAGCATCCTTGCCTAGATCTGAGTTCTGGGCCTTGTTAGAGAGCTAACAACGTTCTGTAATTCTGAGATCCAATTCTCCACATCAGGTGTGCTCTAGAAATAGGTTTAACTCCTCAGTACCGGAAGAACATATATCAACTGATGCTTAAGTGCCCCACTCACAAGAACATCGGAGCTTCCGAGGCAGTCCTCCCTCAAGCCTGGGCTATCTTCCCACCATTGCCATCCCTGCAGCCTTGTTCAGTCTGGGCTTCATTCTGCAGGCCCACACTTGCCAGTGTCTGTCTTAGACTTGCAATGTCTTCCCTATTACATGGATAGCAACTCATGGTATAGGAAACACCTATGTGGATATCCAGCGCGAGTGGAGAGGCATAACCACACAGATTCTTCTCTAGGAGCTGTTTCCTGCCAGGAATTCTTTGTTTCTATGGAAACTTGATGCTGGTCCTTTGACCAAGCAGGGAGAAGGGTATATTGGTACAGCTGGAAGTTAATTTTATGCCTTTTTCTCCCAGGTTGGGTGAGTGATATGTTGAAGTAGTGTTTAGATATCAACTAGCACAGAAAAAGACACTAAGCTAAGACAAAACAAACCCAGAAAATAAAAGTAAACTTATTAGAGTTTTATTTGGGACATTAAGTATTTGAATCACAAGATCTGGGGAAGTGTTTATAATCTATACCTGTGTTCTGAATTGCATAAATTAGAGTGTCAGGACACTGTAGAGGCTCAGCAATTGGGATAATGCAGATTCTTCGGAAGATGAAGAAAGGGATGAAGGAAGAGGGAAGTTGGGGTTTTCTGTTGAGGGAGAATCTGATGAGAGCATTGGTGTTTTGTCTACCAGCATCCAATCCTGCTTTTGGCAACAGCTCCCTCTTCATCCTGTGTTCACTCAACTCCACCCTTTCCTGCCTGTCTCCCTCTGCTTCAAACCACAGATGTCTACGTAAGACAGCAGAATATCTGAGTGTAGGCTTTAAGGACTTGATTGGGAGAAAATATGAAATAAATAGATATTAGCAGAGTTCTGTGTTTACCTAAGTGTCCAGAAGGCCTAGATCACTTCAAAAGAAGACAACTGAAATGTTTTAGTTACTATCATAATATTTGAAATTAAAGGCAAACTCAGAGAATTGGTCAGGGCAAGGATTACAGTGCTTTTCTTGGTGTTTAGAAAGGCAGACAGTAGTCTACCCACTGGACTGTGGCTGACATAATTAGGTGGTACAGTAAGACCTAAGGTGAACTACCGTGAAGCAAGGTATGACCGGACATCTAGGCTTTCTTCCTCTGGTCATTGTTTTTGTGAGTGTAAATGTAGAAAAGAATCTCTTATTTAGAAAGTAATTAGAGTCATATTAATTCTATGAATATACTTTGGGGGAATAAACGGCATTAGGGAGCAGCACACACTCTGAATGCTCAGTGTCTTCACCGGCTGCTTCTGCTGAGTTCTTCAACAGCCTTATTAATTCCCTAGATAAGGTCTAGTTAGTATCCACAATGAATTCAGTTAGACTCGGTGTTCCTGTATGCTCCTCATACTACAGGCGTGGGCTTTTTGTTTGTTTTTTATTTTCAAGGCAGGGTTTCTCTGTGTAGCTCTGGCTGTCCTGGCACTTGCTTTGTAGACCAGGCTGGTCTCAAACTCAGAGATTCACCTGTCTCGGCCTCTCAAGTGCTGGGATTAAAGACCTGTACCAGCATGCCTGGCTCTGGGTGTGGTTCCTGCAGCATGGTACTTGCCACTGCTTGTACATTGGACTATGTAGTGAGGCAGGTGTTGGTTAGTGTAGCATGCAGGGAACCGAGGTTTGGGAGACCCCTATTCTGACTCCAGGCTAGCTGCTTGTTAACTTTATGATCTTGGAAAGTGTGGGAGCCCACAGAGGCTTCCTAGTGACAAATTACTCAGGGTCAGAGAATCTGAGCTTGCTTTACCCAGCAGGGCTGTGTAAGGAGATGATTTGGTCACAGGTGTGTTTACCAGGTGTTTGGAAGGGTCTACACTTGGGTGTACAGTGTGCTTTGATCTTTTGCCTGTCTCCTTGACATATTATAAAAAGCCCTTTTAAATTAAAGAAGAGGCTGTTGGGTGTTGACCCAGGCCCTCCTGAAGCTATCTTGTGTTTCTGTCTTTCTTCTTGTCATTTAGGTCTCTCTTTCTATCTATCATTTCTTATTTCCTCTCTCCTCCATCTAAGAACCCTTCTAAAGGTGGGAGCAGGTTGGAGCTGGACTCCCACAGAAAGTCAGCTAATCTTTTTGGATCTCAGTTTTCTCACCTTTGAAATGGGAATAATAACACATGCTGTGTGCACTTCAAAAACAAAACACTATTAAACTCTGTTCATACTGTGAATCATCATTTCAATATAAGAGCCTGTTTATTTATTTACTTTTGGAGACAGGGTTTCTCTGCGTAGTCCTGGAACTTGCTCTGTGGACCAGGCTGTCCTTGAACTCAGAGATTTGCCTGTCTCTGCCTCCTGAGAAAAATCTCTTTAAAAACTATGATTGTGATAATTGTTTTAGGAGCTGTATTGAACTTATGGTGACTTAAGACCTTATCTCTTTTCATATGATTTACTGAGAAGTAAATCACTTGCACTTCATAACCAATGTTTTGAACTCCACAGAATCTCCACACACAGGATGGAGAACATTCAAATTTTACTCTGTTCAAGTCAACTTAAAGGTGTACAATTTCAGGGTGGTTTGGGATTTGGGTTGTGCTAGTGAGTTCACGGATTATTCTTGTAGTCATCTACACAGCTGGTTTCTCTGAATTCTCTCATTTTTCCAAGTTATCAATCAAAATGTTAACCAGTACAGTGCCAAAGAAAGTCTTGCTCACATCCTCTGGACACCACATTCAAGTTGATAAAACCAAGTAAGGGAGGGTTAGTAGTGAATCCAGCTATACAGTTTATGTCTTCTCTTCATGAAAATCATCTTCCACTGCCTGTCTATAGTCCCATTCAAATGGGTACTGTCCTACTTCCTGCTGAACCGATTGGTTCAGGTGTTCCTTCCCCTAACCCTAACTCTTCCCAGATCTTCCCCATCTCTCTACCAAAACGACCTTGTATTATTTCTCTCTCTCTCTTTGGAAAAATCTACAGAAACAAAAATCAAAACAAACAAAAACCCAATAAGACATAATTGCCCAAACAAAATAAAATGACAACCCTCCCCCCCCCCCCCCCCCCCCCCCCCCCCCCCCCCCCGCCCAAATAACCCTGTGGAATTTGTCTTGTGTTGGTTAACCACTCCTGGGCATGGGGCCTCTCCTTGAGTATTGTTGTTATACCCAGTGACACTTCATTAGAGGAAACCGATTTTCCTTTTGCCAGCTGGTATGGCAAATAGCTTCTTGGATAGCGTTGGGACTCTATGTCTATTTCACCTCTCAGTGATGGGATTACATCTGATTTGAACCTGGGCAAGTCTTGTGTGTGCTGCCACAGTCTCTGTGAATTCATACGTGTATCAGTTCTGCTGTGCTCAGCAGACACTGCTCTGTGGCATCATCCATCCCTTCTGGCTCTTACAATGAAGCTTGTTCTTGAGGTAGAGACGGGAATTAACACAGAGACCCAAAACTGGACAATGTATAGAGACTACTCAGTTCTAAATGGGATGTCTTCATCAAATCCCTTCCCACAAGCCTCATGGATCTATGGGGAAGAGGGGTTAGAAAGGTTATAAGAGCCATTTATATTATTTAACTTATGGAATCTGCCTACTATTTTTATTTTAATAAGCTATTGTGAGTAGAATGCACACTGCAGGGAATAGGAGTAAAATCTGGTGTAAGGAACTTTCACATACACACACAAATAAACATATGTATTCATATATGAATGTGGTGATGTAGAGGATGTTTCTTTCTGTGACTTATGGTTTGAACAGCTTGAAAATCAGAGATCTTGATAGTTCTTCTGTTCCTTTTAATACTCTGAACTTGTAGCTAATTACATTTATTAAATATTTGGGGGACTAGGGGAGTGGCACAGTGGGTAAGAACATTTGCTTTACAAGTATGAGGACCTGAGTATGAATGCTCAGAATCCACATAAAGGCCTGCTGTGGCTGCAGACGCCTATAACCACAGCATTGTGGGTAAGATTCCTGGAGCCAGCTCATTAGCTAACTTTGCTGAAATGGCAAGTTTTTGGTTCAATGGGAAACTCTGTTTCAAGGGAATAAGGTAGAGAGTAATAGACAATAACTAATAACCTTCTCTGGCACATAGTGGCACACTACCCACTTCACACATACTCCACATACAACACTCAAACACATACACACACACACACACACACACACACACACACACACACACACACACACACACACAGATACACAGAGAGAGACACACACAGACAGACAGACAGACAGACAGACACACACACACAGATACACAGAGAGAGACACACACAGACATACAAATAAATACACACAGACACACACACATACATGCACACACACACATACAGAGTCTCTGGCATTTTTGGTTAAACTTCCCTTTTTAATACTCCTCCAGACTGTAGAAGCCAAGCCCATGTATCAGCCCAGTGATCATTACCACCTCTTTCATGTTTTATCCACAGTATCATATGAAGTTTCTTCACCAGAAAATTGTATCCTAGGAACCATAATGTTCAATATCCTTTTAAAATTTCATGTGCTTCTTCAGAGGCAATTAATTGGACTTACAGTTTTTTTTTTCCAGTCTGACCTGTGAGACAGTTTTTGTTGTTGATTTTAATTTTCTGTGACACTACTTGGAATGTTCATTGAAGAAACAGTTGTCTTTTTTTTTTTTTTTTCTCCCCAGAGCTGAGGACCGAACCCAGGGTCTTGCACTTGCTAGGTAAGCGCTCTACCACTGAGCTAAACTTGTCTTTTACTTCATCCTCCTCTTCCTCTCCCTCCTCCTTCACTTCCTCTGCCTCTTCCTTTCCCCCTTTTCTTTCTAAGACAAAGTTTCAGGCTGCTTTGCCAGGCTCGCCTGGGACTTTCCTTCCTTCCGTCTCAGCCTCCCCCATGCTGGGATTCCAGCTCTCTACCACTGGACCTGGCTTGCTCTTCCTTTCTGCAGAGGGAAGATCTGAAGAAAGCAACTCCAGGCCACTTCCTCCAGGTGGGGGCCAGGTCCACTGGGACTCACAGTCCTGGGAAGCCTGCCATGTGGCCTGACCAGGACTTCCTGAACTATAGTTCTGGGGATTCATATGTTTTCCATTCTACCCTGAGGTAACATTTTTTAGGTTCTTGGATTTTTCAGAACTTGTAGTTAGGAGTGATTATTAATTATTAAGTCATTTTCATTGTTTTCTTAGAGGTGTAGACTTCTTAGTGCTTTCCTATCTCAGGAAAGCCTCTTTTTCTACACGAAATTCTCTTCAAGGCCTGCATCTCATTGGCTTTGTAGAGATGGCTTGATCCAAACATGAAGCCCTCTTTGAAGTCCAATGTCTTCCTTAAGAACACTTCATGTGAGCCAACAGTATAATATATACTTCAGAGAAAATATGTATATTGCATCCAATCTGTGTCTCTTTAGCAACAAGAGCAGTGGCTTATTTCCTGAAGACTAGAGCGGAGACCTCAGAAGGTGTCCTACCACAGTGACGTTCCCTTCACAACCTCTGGGTATCAGTTTTTCTCTTGCTGTGACAAAGCATCTGACCATAGAAATTAAGGACGGGAGCGTTGATCTTGACTCAGGTTAAAGGTACAGTCTACACGGTAGTAGGAGTATGAGAGGGATGGCCATTATGGCATCCATAATCAAGAAGCAGGGGAGATAAACGTTCTCACTCAGCTCACTGTCTTCTTTAAACATTTAATCTGAGACCCCGGCCCATGTATGATGCCACACATATTTAGGGTGGGCCTTCCTACCTCAGTCACCCTATCTAGAAACTTCCTCACATGCCCAGAGGTATGTCTTTTAGGTGATTCAAATTCCCAACTAGTTAGTATTAATCATCCCATCCTTGGACATTTCTCAGGACTCAGTATGTCTTCCTGAGCATATGTTGGTGTTTTCTCAGTCCAGGACTGGGTCATGCTACCTACTTAGCCTAGAATTCCCCTCTTCTCTTTCCCTTAATACCCACCAAATGCCAGTTTCTTTGAAGCATTTTCTCTGAGTAGCTCAAGCAGGATTAAGATCCTGAATCATTCTCACATTGCACTGCTTTAAACACCTCGAATTCCCCTGATTCTCCTTTATGTTGTAATTATTTATCTTTGGTCTGTATTTCCTTCTACTGTCCATTCTTATGGGCGGGTGTCTTGTATCTCACCTCCTCCTCATGCTGCAGACTTATAGGGGTAAGCTATTATTAAATGATGGCCCAAACTATGTTTTCCTAAAATAAAAGCAGAATGTTTCCAAATAACTTCACTATAGAATCGAATATTAAGTTAGATTTGTCTTTCAGATTTTTCAGCTCTCACCGGAGTTATGAGATATGTTTTGGGCTGAAGATGTGCTGATGACTAGAACTGTGTAGGCAAGCGTGAGAACTACTTTCAACTACTTGTTAAGCAATTATTAATATTTACTAGTTCTCATTGTTCTCTAAAACAATTTTCTATCAATTTTCTCTAAAACAAAAATTCTATCTTGGAGGGCAGCTGAGGTCTGAATAAGAACAGTACCACTAGTCATGATAACACAGAATGGGGAAAGCTCCCAGCCCCACTCCTAGACAAAGAACTATATGCAACCAAGGACTGCTGAGAGAAGAAGAATTAGTTTTCCCCAGGGATGAGACTTCTAATTTATTAATACCAAGTGGTCAGCCCTGAAATCATGTATATAACAAGAAACACTAAATTAACTCAGGAGGTTATATTTCTATATATATGTGATATATATATATATATATATATATATATATATTATGTGTAAGAAAGAAAAAGAAGTCATGAATCTGAGAGGGAGAGAGGTGGGACATGGGAGGGTTGGAGAAAGGAAACGGAAGGAGGGAAATGATGTAATTATATTTTAATTAAAAAATCAAATTAAAGTCAGGCGGTGGTGGCACACAGCTTTAATCCCAGCACTTGGAAGGCAGAGGCAGGCGGATCTCTGTGAGTTCAAGGCCAGCCTGGGCTACAGAGTGAGTTCCAGGAAAGGTGCAAAGCTACACAGAGAAACCCTGTCTCGAAAAAAAGGAAAAAAAATCAAGTAAAATTCTAAAGGGAGATTATACATTCATTGTTGCAGGGAAAATACTTAAAACTCAGGAAGCATACAACTTAAAAGCTGCATGTAAGCAGTAAGGGCTGCTGAGAGATGGTCTCAGATCAACCAAGACGCCCGAGGATGCCCTGCAGAGGCTCAGACTACCTGAGCTGCCTGCAACAGCCTCCTGAGCTGCATGTGGGTTGTGCACGCCACACTTCTAGCTTTGCTGAGCCATTCTGGGGTGGGTTTCAGGTGATGCACCTGTCTGAGTCATTTCTGCTCCTGTCAGTAACCTCTCACCCATATGTCTCTAAAATCTCCAGTAAATGTCATTGGTTCACAAAGTTGGACTTTGGTGGTATCATTATTTCGGTCTGCTTGTTCCCTATCTGGGGTGAGCAGACATTTGGTCAGCTCTTCTCAGGAACAGAATCACTCAACACTCATCAACATCATATGAACTGTCCTCAGGAAAACAAGAAGTCTGGGAAAATTAGATGAAAACTATACTTCATTAAATCTTTCAATTATATGGATTTAGCAAGGGTATTTTGGTGCTGCTATAGTTTGTATATAGCATGCTCCCTGAAGGCCTATGTGTCAACTGTTTGATTTCAACAGTTATTGGGAAACAATGGGACTTTTAAGATGTGGAGACTAGTGGGAGGAAGCTAGGCCATTAGAGAAATTTCCTCAAACAGACCCTTGACTATTTTTCTGTCTTTTTTTCTTTCCTTTCCTTTCCTCCCTCCTCTTCCTCTTCTTCTACCCCTCTCTCCCAGGCATGAGGTAAACAAGATTTTTCCCACTATACTCTCCGTCATGATGTATTGTTCCCTCATTAATCTAAAGTACCAGGGCCAATCGGTCATGGACTACAACAGTCAAAATAACCTTTCCTCTTTTTAAATTAATTTATCCAAAAATTTGCTACAGTAATGGAAATCCAACTAACATAGATGGCTATGTAGAGATAGATCTGTATCAAATATATATCTTCTGTAATTAGAAAATATGAAAAGATGATAATGGGAATCTGTCTTTGTCACTGTTCAATTGCTGTGAAAAGACACCATGATAAAGGTAACTTTTATAAAAGAAAGCATTTGATTGGGGCCTTGCTTACAGTTTTAGAGGGTTAGTCCATGATCAACATGGTGGGAATCAGACAGACATGGTGCTGTAGCTGTAGCTGAGAGTTTTACATCCTGATCTGCAGGCAGCAGGCAGAGACAGAGAGTGCAACTGGGCCTAGTGTGGGCTTTTTAAACTTCCAAGCCCACTCCAGTGACACACTTCCTCCAACAAGGCCATGCCTCCTAATCCGTTCCAAACTATTCCACTAACTAGGGAACACACATTCAAACATATAAGCTTATGAGGGCTATTCTCATTCTAACCACCAAAGAATCTATGTTTTATTATGTTTGTCAAAGCAGTATTTATTACTAGAATACCTTTCCAGAAGTATTTCTAGTGATCCTTATTTTATTGACCAAGAACATGCTACCCGAGTGGAATAAAAAGGACTAAGGAAGTCTTGGCATTGAAACTCATGGGGTAGAAAATTTAAATTGCCTTTTTAAAAAAATTATAACACAATAGGTTTTTGATAGAGCATTGTGTAGAAATCACTGTAGAAACCCAGGAATATACATGATCCCATCTCCACATATTTTAAAACTCATTGGAAAAAATACAATGTATATACAAATATCTAACTATCCTATGAAGTATCAAGTATGTGCTATAGACATATGCTATTTTTGGAGGGGTTACTTTAGGTTTCCAGTATTTTTACAATAATGACCTTGCCTTCCCCATCCTCTATGTTAGATATTCCTCTAAAGAGTATTTAAATTGAGTTTTGCATCAATTGGGCAGTCTGCCATTACTGGCAAATGGACCTTACAGTCCAAATATGATCAACAATTAACACTTCACTAAGAATACCATCTCAATCCAAGTCTTAGAAGCACTTTACTTACATTTTAACTAGTAACTCAAAAAATAATACTTTGAGTAACAAGCAAATATTCTATCTTAAAAGATGATCTCCCAAACTCAAATAGTGAAGCATGCTTTGCCACTGAGGTGAGTTCATGAAGGTTGGTGGGAGTTGTGTACCTGGGAAGAGATGTAATTTTCCCCCATTTCTCTATGCAAAACCGCCGAAGCCCATTGCTTCCCCGCAAAGCCGCAAAGCCTTCATAGGGCACACTCGATGTTCCTGTCACAAACTGAAGTAACCTCAATCTCTGCTCATTATTGAACCGTTCCACCGCAGCCCAGAACCAGCGGATCACAAGATGGCCGTCATGATAACCTGGTTAAAAAAAACGAGGTGGTGGTGGGGAGAAAGAGGATGTGAGGAAAGGAGGAAGAAACAGATGTGTTAACTGAACCATAGCTTGAAGTCTTTTGATTTTGCTGATAATGGCGTTTAGATAGGCAGGTCTAAACTAATTTATATAACTTGGTCAAGTTTTAAAACAAGCAGATTTAGATTATAGCAATTTTACAAAAGAACTGGGTGTTTGAGAAGTTCATTCTGAGGTGTTTAGAATTTATTTAAACGATTGGAATACAACCTAAAATATCCCAGCCTTATATGAGTGTAAGTAAGGAACAAAAGGCTCTACAAAGTCAGACCACCTATGTTTTCTTTGTTCTGATGTCTTAGCTCTTGGCAACAATTTAACACAGGAGAGTCTAGGGCTTAAGAACAGATAGAAGTAACATGTAAACCTGGCTGAAGATGACAGGTTCCCAGGAGTCATGACTGCCCCCAAAGAAAAACCTATACCCATCACACAGTTGTTCTCTGAGTCATGCCTGGGCTGCAGAGCTGCCTTAAGGCATCATCGAGGAGGCTAGGCTTGCAAGAAACCATCTAGAGAAATGACCACCATTCACAACAAGGGAAGAGGCATTCAAAGAGAGGGGAGACAATGTGGGTGGGAACTGAGAAAGCTTGGTGAAGGAAGCAGGGTTTGAATTTAGCATGGGATGCATTTGTGTAGTACAGCAAAGAGAGAGGACTTTTTTAATAGAGGAAATAAATAATGAAAATGACGAAAACATGAGATATCAGGACGTAAGCTGACACAGATGGGTATCTGAAGAGCCTGGGAGTCAGGGGGATGCTGGGACACTAGGAGTCTTACTGGTTCAGCAGAATACTTAGGTCAGCAGTTTTCTTAATAGACCTGTGTGGAAGTCCCAAGAGGGTTTTGCAGCTGAGTGGTTTAAGGAGGCAGAGTGGAAGATGGACCCTTGTTTTTTCCCCTCTATTATATTGGTTGGGATTTCTCTCTGATTTACCCAAAAAGAGGATTTTTGAGGTTAAATTCTTAACTAAGTTTTCTGTGAGTAATAAGGCTGTGTTTTGGGGGGACAAAGGTGGTCTGGTCTGATGAAAATGATATTTGCATTAATTAATTATGCTAATCCCATGTTGAAATGGTATTTTGGTATTAAATTAAAAGACATATATTACAATTGCTTGTTTGTACTTTTTCTAACAGACTATTAGAAAATTTAGTTAGTGCCAGGTGTGGTGGGACATGCAAAACTTAGGAGACAAAGGCAGGTGGATCTTTGTGAGTCATGCCAGCCAAGGCTATATAGTGAGACTGCATCTCAATTAACAAACAAACAAATAAATAAGAAAGAAAGACATTCAGTCATTCTCCACTCACAGAGGAATGCTAAAAATAACCCCCGAAGCCACTTGCTGTAAGAACTTGTGTGGAAGATGAAAAGGCAGTTGGTTAACGGTAAGAAAAAAAAAATCTTAAAACAATGAAACAACATAACAAGGTAAAGTCAGGGCCTATGGGGACATCTAACTTTGCTTCTAATGGCTTATAAGTAACAGTCAGTCTTAGGTCTCTCCAATACCAGGGAAGACCACCACAGTACACTTCAGTAGCACTCAGAAGTGTATAGTTCTTATAGTTAGTTATATTTCCTTTTACTTTGTTATCTGTTGTACAGGAAAAATTATTATCAGTGTTACTAAGAAGTCTACCTGTGACTGACTTTGCGGTGGATAAGTAGATATGAAAGCACACTATGGAAGATCCCGTCAGTTATTCAAATCATCTTCATCAGTGTTGAAGATTCTTTAGTCCTTCAGCTCTTTCTTCTAAATACTTTTTATTAATGCCTGATAAACTCACTTCTCTCAGGGCGTGCTATGTTACGGAATAATCTTTTGGTACACTGTGAAGATGTGCCTTTGCCAAGGTGCCTTCTGATTGGTTTAATAAAAGAGCTGACTGGTCAGTATGTCAGGCAGGAGGTATAGGTGTGAGATCAAGACAGAGGATGCTGGGAAGAAGGGCAGAGTCTCAGAAGTCATAAGCAGACATAGAGAGAAGCAAGATGCACATGCTGTGTTGAAAGAAGGTACCACTACGTGGCAGAGAGTAAATAAGCAATATGGGTTAATTTAAAATGTAAGAGTTAGCTAGTAAAAAGCTGGAGCTATCAGCTGAGCATTTATAATTAATATTGACTCTCCATGTAGTTTATTTGAAACCTGGTAGGCAGGGAAAAAAGTCTGCCTACAATGCTGGCATGTTTTTAAAGTATTATAAAGACCTGCTTGGTGGTGCATGTCTTTCATCCTAGTGTTTTAGAGGTAGAGACAGAAACAGGTTTGTGAGTAAGAGACCAGCCTCATTTACATAAGAAGTTCCAGTCTCATGGGGCCACATGTGAGACCCCCATCTAAAAAATATATAAAACAAATAGGATCATGTAAACTTTTTTATGTTCCCCAATTATTTTATACCATCTAGTTTAGTTTTAGCAATGCATTTTGTTGTCTTTTTAGAAATTTTCCCATGATGGGTTTTTTTTTGGGGGGAGACTAGTAGAGAAAAATGAAGATGTTCAATAAACTATTTCAGTATACATACCCTAGGATTATTCAAGGCAGAAAACATAATTTGGTTCAATGTTGTTACTCCAACATCTATGTCAAAGCAGGTGTTCAGAAAATATCTGATGAGTTATTGTGTCAAATAAAGGACCAATATTACTACTACATTACAGAGCACTGACTCAAAGAATACAACATTCTGAAAAAAAAAACTGTGGGTATGTGTGCCTACGTGTGTAAAAAAAAATCATATATAAAAAAAGAAAGACATTCAAACTTACATATATGGTCACATTCTTTTTCTACCGTAGATGACTAGTCTAAAGCATCAGATGTTCTGGGACAATATTCCCTATAGTCAACATGAAATAGTCATATTGTAAGAATCACAATTTGTATTGTTAAGAAATGGAGGATAGAATATAAACAGAGACAGAGATGAGAGGTTTAGAATTTGATTCATTTTGATGCAGACCAAAGGAAAGCTCACAAATGATTTACAGTAAATAATTTTTTAAATTATGGAGAGAGAGACAGAGAGAGAGAGAGACAGAGAGAGAGACAGAGAGAGAGAGAGAGAGACAGAGAGACAGAGAGACAGAGAGACAGAGAGACAGAGAGAGAGAATAGTTAGAACTCTGTGGAAGCAAACACGGACTGAGGCAAAGAAGGCTAAAATTCTACAGGAAGCAAGAGATGTTTCTCTGACAGTGTTCAGGCTACTCAAGAGCTCACATGTAGAAGGTGTGTTGTCTGTGCGCCTTTACATAGCCACACCAGGGATTACTGTTGTCTGAAAGAAGTTCATTTAGAAGCTGTGCCAATAAGTATCCTGTCCTGAAGTAAGGATAAACCTCTGGAGGCTTAAAACAGTGATAAATAGGGCTCAGGTTGTTCACTAGTGAGACAGCATTTGCCGAGGAAGCACCAGGCCTGAAGTTTAATCCTCAGCACTGTAAATAACGGTAACAACGACTGGTGAACAGTGTGATGGACTACTACTTAGCTATACGAAGGAATGAAATACTAGAACATGCCAGAACATGGATGAACCTCAAAAAATTACCTAAAGTTCAAGAAGGCAGACACAGGAACCCTATTTTGTATGACAGTATTTATAGGACATTTCTAGAATCGGTAAGTCCACAGAGACAGGGGATTTATGGATGCCAGGTGTCTGAAAGATGGAAACGGGGTGGAGAACAACTTCTTGATGGGTACAAGCCTTCCTTTAGATGATGACAGTATTTTTTAGAACCAGGAGTGGCCATTGTTACACAAAAATTTGAATGTACTAAATATTACTGAATGGTTTATTTTAGGATGGCCAATTTCACACTGTATCAATTTTATTTCAATAATTTTTCCTTAAAACACGTGTTACCAAAAGTGCTGCTAGCTCACCTCCCCGGTACTCAGTGTTATTCCTCCAGTCATTCAGGTCGATTTCGGCAGTACCAGCAATCACCAGCTCCAGTTCCCTAGCATCAAACACCGAGACGAGCCTCGAGTCTACCACCTGGAAGACAGTAGCATCAACACACAAGCAGGTTATAGTCATGGTTTCTATGCTGCCTTTCAGGTTGGGAAGGTATCATTTACAAATCGCCTTTCAACATGCAGTCACTTTAAAATTCAAAATCATAGCAGTTGATCCCTCCCATCCTACTCATGTGTTATAATCTTTATCCCCAGCTCTCTGGAGCCTTAAATGATGTAATTGTATTCTATTTTCAAAATTCTTTTTAAAAAGAGGCAGTTAGATATGAGGCCCTGAGATAGGGTTAGTGCCCTTAGAGAAGACGCACACAATCCTTGTCCTTCCCACTGACATGAGGCAAGAAGCTGCCTCTGTGGAAACTGGGCCCTTATCAGTCACTGAATCTGCCAGTGTCTTGAGCTTGGACTTGCCCACCTCTATGACTGTGAAAAATGGATTCCTGATGCCTAGAAGATGCCCAGTCTATGCTTTTTATTATAGAAGCCCCAGTAGTAGTCACCGAGCTAGCATTTTAGAGTAGAAGCCTTCGTGGGCTGGGAACAGAGGGAAAATCCCACGCTTCTTAGCATTTCAGATACTTCCCGATTTCACAAACAATCCCGACTTGGTTTTCTGAAGTCACATTTCAGTTTTCAAGTTCTACTGCCTGTCTTTCCCATGGAATGGTTGCTCATTTCTTGCAGTTCCCTTCCTTTCCCTCTTCCTCCCTGTTTCTTTGCCCTCCTCTCTAAGGATTGGGCAGGGCCTGTTGGTTAGAGCTCTGTGCTATGGCTTACACCTTCTACCAGATGTGCCAGGGTCAACTGAATGTCTCCAGTGCTGCCGGCTTTGGACCAGCAAGTAGTGGACAATAAATCAGACGATAAACTTCTCAACTGAATTTCTAAATTGAAGTATAAAGACATCATTTTTGGGCATGGGCAGTCTGCAGCTGTCTCTCTTCTCAGTTTACTGCTCAGCATGATGACATGACAGACAGCAAGGCTGTAACAAAACAGACACCCGGCAGGAGTGACTGATACTTCCCACGCTTCTGCTTTGCTTTCTTTGTTTCAGTGGACTGAAGGAAACGCCACATCCACATAGCTACACAGGAAACACTGGCTGCTCCCTCACCTGGTATAGCAGGACCAAATCATTGGCACTTTACTGAGAGTATTTTAACTTCCGACAGGGCTTGTCAGACATCTGTGTTCATGGAGAAGTCTGGCCCTCCATCCATCCAGCCCAGCTAGACGGTCCACCCGCCTCTGGACAGGAGACTATAAACCTTGCCTCTCTTGCTTCTTTCTCTCTGCTCTGAGCTAGTGAGTTCCAGCTCCTCCCCCAGCTTCCAGAAACACAGGCTCAACTGCAAAGCACCATGGGCTGCTTTCCTGGGCCACCTGGGGTCTTACCTCATAGAAGCCCCTCACCAATGCCTCGGTCTGCTGCACCACACCGCGCTCCACCCGCCACTTCACCATCCTCTCTATGTACTCCTTCTTGTTCTTCTCAGTCACCTGCGTGTTGGCACCTCCAGACTTCAACTCTCTTTCTGTTACCTTGCAAGGAAACAGGAGGATCATGATGCTATTCGTTCAGCTCATTTTCCGAGGAGACATTTTCATTTAGGATGACAGCATAAAAAGGTCTTTTTCCTTCCCTGGACGTTACTAGGAAAGTTTTCGTTGTTTGAACCACATTCTGAAGCATTGTAGAAGAGTTATAATTTATTTATTTTTTTTGTACAAAAAGGAATCATATTTCTTTAACTCAAGGAGTGTAATGTCCTGGGTTGTCCCTTAAGGTGGAGGGAGCCAAATGTCCCAACACTATAGTCAGATATTTGATGCCTCTAAATCTCAATTAGAGCAATGATTTTACTTGTGCACCTAATGAGAAGAAGTAAAGTAGAAGTGGGTAGAAAGATTTGTTTTCCAAGCTGGCTGCAGATGTGGCTAGGGAGCAGAACACAAGGAAGCAGAGTGGACTCCACTCGGCATGGAGCTCATGCTTCCAAAGAAAAACTCCTCAGCCAGGACCTAGGATCTGTCTGCTGCTTTTTATGTAGTAGAGAATATAAAAATATACTCCATATGTTTTTCTAAGCTAAAATATATATACATACATAACACACAAATACATAGCGTATACTCTGTTCTTCATTATCCTTTTCCCTGGAAAATATATCTCAGAAATTTTATATAAATTTAGATATCATTAACCCATCCTTTGCTGCTAGTAGTGTTCTTTATTTGTGTTTTATGACTTAATATGTAATTCAAATGGCTGGAGAGTCTCATATTCATTTGGTCAACAGATTTAATACTATATTAGTAAATTCTTGTAGCAAACACACAGGGAATTTCTTGTTAAGTAATATTGAGATATATGCATACTGGAGGACTAAGTGGATGTAATGAAAGATTATGTAATTTTGAACATACAGAAATACCTTGTATCTTATGGCATACTTTAAATGTTTTCTGATCCATGGTTACATTTGCTTTTCAAAACCCCTGCATAGGGTAGAACTATCTCATATTGTAGAGCCATATCAAAGTGATAGAAAGAAGGAAGAGACCCTGGCAGTGCTGTTCAAAAAAGAAGTCCTTGGGCTGCAGAGAGGACTCAGCAGGGAAGAGCACCTGCTGCTCTTGCAGAGGACATTGGTTTGAACCAATGAGATTCTTGTTATTTAATTTAAAAATAAAATCTCATTGACATATGATTCAGCACCTGGATTTGCATATATGAGTCTGTGTAATACAAAAGAACTGGAGGTAGGGGCCAAACAGATATCTGTCCACTGATGTAATTAGCAACATTATCCACAAGGATGAAAGAAACAGATCCTTATTTGAACTATCTAGAGTCAAAAATCATGAAAATAGAAATTGTGTGGTATTTCCCAGGAGTAAGGGGGTGGGAGGAATGAAAGGGTGTTGTTTAATTGGTAGAGTTTCAGTTTTTCAGGAAGTTCTAGAGATTGGATGCCAAACAATGTGAACGTACTTAACAATACTGAAATGTACTTTTAAAAAGTTCTAAGATGGTTAAGTTTTGTTTTATGCATTTACCATAGTAAACAACAAAATGTCTTTTCCAAGTCCACATCACACAAACCTGTCCAAAAACTTCTTCATTAACAGTGAAAGTGAGATCGAGAATATCTGTGATGTTATTGTCCTTCATCCACTGCAAACTTTGGTGGAATTCCTCATCTAAATATTCTAGGTCACTCAAATCACAGGGCCTGGAAGAATTCAAAGGCAGCAAGAAAAACTGAGTGAGCAAATGGCTTTCAGACCTCACTCCACACATGATTATGCTGCTTCTCAATAAAACACAATAGATTTCATAATTACTTGATAATTCTGAATACATTGTTGAAGCAGTAATTCAAGTTTTGATTTATTTAATAGTTTCCTTTTGAAAAGAGCCTGCTAAAGTTTCAATAATAAACATGAAATAATTATTGACTCATTGGTAACTAACCAAAAAACAAGCAATTCTACTCAACAGTGTAATACAATGTTCACAATGTTGTGATTTCTATATAAATGAATTAATGTCCATTATATGGTTTTGCTAATAGAGTCATTTCTTATACCTACATAAAGTCTCCCAATGCCATTTTATTGCACTAAAAGGTATAGGATATCTAGCTATATATCTATCATATATATCATATACATACATATACATATATATATACATACATATATATGCACTCAGAATAAGAAATTGATGGAAACTTATTAGAAATGGTTGAAACCAAATTGACAAAAGGGCCCGAGACATAAGAAAGGCCAGAACTGTCATCCTGTGGGAAGGCTGGACAGAATCATCCTACAATACACGTACAGCTTCAGGAGTCCTTTGTAGAAGGGCCTTGTGAAGAAAGCATCCAGGAGGTACTGATGGATCAGAGCCAGGCCCAGGATACGACCACTAAATCTAAACCTGAAACATAGACAAGGCAAAGAAGTTTGAGGGTTAATAGTAATTTACATTACTATGTATTTTAATTTGTACTAAAATTTTTTTTTAAAAATCTGTATTTTTATTTGAGCTTTATTTATTGTGATGGAGGTTGAATTGAGGGCACCACATATCCTAAAACATGTGCTGTACCACTGGGCATCCCCTCACCCAGTTCAATGAGTTCTGTATAGTATTCATCTTAAACAGCTCAATGAATTTGCCCAGTGATGATACAAGGAGACATCAATTCTTCTTCACATTCTTTGCCATAAACAATGGCCATGTGGTTGGTATGTCCTAAACAAAATCTTCTGTGTTCCATGATCAGACTGCTGTTATTTAAGAAGAGGAAATCACTGAGGAAGGAAAATTCAGAAACCTGAAATATAAGGCCCAAGTTAGACCCAAAGGGAACCTAGACCCAAGAAAACCGGAAACCTTGTGTCTGAACAATGTGTCTTTGCTTATTTGGACATTTTATAATGTTACTCTATGCTGGGAGGTGGAGGCTTGAATATTAACCACAGATGGCAGTTAGTATTTAAAGACAGTGGGAAACAGTTCCATGTAATCACCATATGATGAAAGACAACCTGATAAACCATTGTTATTCAATATTGCCATCTACACAATGAAAGAACAATGTCATTGCTAGGAAGAATTGGTCATGTAGACTTGGCCACTTACAGATATAAAGGCCCTTACTGATTTCAGTCTTTGTTGAAGCAATTGGTTTCCTAGAAATTTTTCTGGTGAACATCTTGGCTGAGTTGCAAGGTTACCTGTAGCTTGCCTGCATGATTTTACAGCTCTATGAAGCTTCCTGTCTTCCTGGTCTACCATCCCATGGCTTACTTGCTATGAAGGCTTTGTCCTTTCTGCACATAACTCCAAAACTGTGGTATACCTGTTCTCTATCTAATCAGGTTTTCACCTAATCTTGGACTTTTCTGGCTCCAGAAGGAGGTAGGTGGTGTATAGATGGATATAACCACCACTATGGCTTAGGAGTGTCTAGGCCCTGGTGAGGTTACAGCAGTCGTCCTGCCCAGGTAAGTGACTATTCAAAATGGTTTTGAATCCTTAGAATTTGTCAGGAGCTGATTTTGACAGGTGTTTGTATTCCTAAAGATACTATAGTGTTTGCAAACTCTGAAGACAGTGTGCATGGATTTTGAGGAAACTTCTTTGCTAGATGTTCATGCATCTACCTTGGCCCTTTAGAAATGGTGCTTATAACATCATAGTGGTGTTATGACCATACAGATGGAGATTATTAAGATGAATCAAACCAGAAATAAAAAAACGTAAACACAAGTATTTACAGATGCCCTCCTAAATTGCAGGGCCCTCTAATGACCCAGGGAAGAAAAATGGCAATGACAGTACACAGTAAGAGTGTGCAACACATAAACACTTTCAAAGGGAATGTGTTTTAAGCATAATGCTCAAAATTGAATACTCCATTGAGTTACAAATGTACTGGTAATGTATTCATGAAGAAATATAAAGCTTAAACAGACTGATAGTTAGAGTATAAACTAGAAAACTTTGAGGAAAAATTATCTCCAAACTGATGCTAGGACAAGGTACACATACTCTCTCTCATTTAAAGATATGTACTTTAATGTCTCCAAGGGATGGAAAGTCCTTCCACAAATCAAACCACTTCTCAAAGAAATGAGTGAAAATGTTCTTAATTCATCATAGTGACCTGCCAAGCTCATAATCTGTAAACAATAACAAGAAAGAAAGCTAAAGGCATCCTGTTTGTACATACAGAAAACCCAAGTATAATACAGTGCATTGAACTTGACAGTTTGAACCCACAAGATAATGCTAATATCAGTGGGTTTGTGTCAGCTGAATTCTAGAGGTTCTACCTCTGTAACAATGTTTGAGATCCCTGATACATCTTAGATCTTTTTTGGCCTCCTTTGCCCTGGCTTATATATTCTAGATACTAATCCTCTGTCAAATGTGTATCTGGCAAAGATTCTTTCCCACTCTGTGCATTTCCTTAGGTGCATTACTTAGGTGAACAGAAGATTTTTAGTTTTATGAGGTCCCACTTGACAATTGTTGACCTTCATTCCTGGGCACATGGAGTCCTATTCAGAAAGTCTTTCCCTATATCTATAACTTCTGGGGCACTGCCTGTGCTTCCTTCTAGCAGTTTCAGTGTTTCAATCTGTATCTTTATCTATATAATGAAGTTATAGACCCAGGCTGACAATAGTCTGCTCAAAAGTCAAAGACAATCTAACAAAACAACCATTTCTAATACCTTGGAGTCTAGTTAGGATAGGATAGTCAGTATTGGTGTAAAAGTGAGTGACACCTATATTCACAGAGCTGTGACTGCTATGCTGATGATGACAATAGAGTGGCCAAGAAAGAGCACTGAGGGATGAAAGACTCTAGGCTGCGTTATTGTCTCATGAGCCTTATCATCCATCTCTGAAGCTCTGTCTTCCTCTAGTTGCAGAGTCAATAATACATTACTCACATGCTATTTCAGGCAAAAGGAATAAACTTCTTTACAAATCCTACTTTGAAGTGTTCTTTATATTTGTATTTATTCTAGATGATCATATAATCTATTCATTTTGACGTTTTATAATGCTTACAGATTGGATCATCTTGTGACTTCGAAGAGTCATAGCAAACTCACTGAAAATTAGTTACTTTGGAATCCCAACTGGAAGGAGTCAGTCCCTTCATAGGCCACTATATATAAAATATCTAATTCTCTTATGCATTCCCACATGCCATCTGATCCCTGCTCCAAGCATGAGGATCTGTAATACATTGTGTGATGCAGAAGCCAGAAATCAAGCAGAGAGAGACTGTTGTCTACTGTTGTTGCTGAGCATTTGACTCCAGTTTTGTTTCACTGTCATAAACAAGGATTAATTAGAAGCCTGTAAATACTTGTTATTTCACTGTCTAAAATGCCAACAACAACAACAACAACAAAACAAAACAAAACAAAAAATCAAACCAAACCAAACAACAAGAACAAGAACAAAAATCAACACCAGAATGAAAAACTCCCTTTTAAACTTTTGGTTAAAAGAGTCCAAGACACTCTCAAAATAATATAAGCTATGTTGTTCTCCTTGGTTGCCTCCAAGAGGTTACAAGTAAGTCCCTACACCATGGGGATAGGGAGAAACAGAGTGCTAGGGAGGCTCCCAAAAATCCACAAGGATGACTCCACCATAGACTACTGGCAATAGTCCAGAGGGTGCCTGAGCTGGCCTACTCTGGTGATCGGACAGCTGAATAACCTGTCATCATAGAACCCTCATCCAGTGACTGATGGAAGCAGATGCAGAGATCCACAGCCGGGTCCCAGGCAGAGCTCCAAGAGTCCAGTCGATGAGAGAGGATGAATTCTATGAGCAAGATATATTCAAGACCATGACTGGAAAAAGTACAGCTACAGAGACTACTAGTCAAACTAGTGGAAACGCATGAACTGTGGACCAATAGCTGAGGAGCCCCTGTGGTGGTATTTTACTTGTACTGAAATGTGATTTTAATTGTATGTTAATAAATAAAGTTGTCTGGGGGTCAGAGCTATTAGAGTCATAGCAAGTGCATGGCGGTGGTGGCGCACGCCTTTAAGGACCTGGAGGGCGGTACATTCAGGCAGTGACGAGGCAGTCACATGTTTGGGTTTACAACCAATGAGAAGGCAGAACAGGAAGACTTTAAAGACAGACACACAGGAAGTAGGTCCTTTTTGGAGAGCTCTCTTGGCTGGAGAGGATCCCTGAATCAGGAAGGGTGAGGCTCTTAGCTCTGACCTCTTGGCTTTCTTCTCTGAATTGGCTCTGTGTTTCTTATTTTATAAGACCGTTGGTTACATCTACAAGCCCCCGTGGTACTGGACTGGCGAGACAGTTGTTTAGCTTGAACTATATTGGGGGCCCCCAGACAGTGGGATTGGGACTTGTCCCGAGTGCATGAGCTGGCTTTTTTGAACCTAGTGCCTATGGTGAGACACTTTGTGCAGCCTTGGTGCAGGAAGGAGGGGCTTGGACCTGCCTCAACTGAATGTACCAGGCTCTGCTGGTCTCGGAGGAGGTGGGAATGGAGGGTGAGTTGGGGAGGAAGATTGGGGGGCAGGAGGAGGGAGGATAGGAGAATCTGTGGTTAGTATGTAAAATGAATAGAAAATCTCAATAAAAAAAATTATTTTTTTAAAAAAGAAAACTCTCTGTTAAGATCCATAGCCTGTTTTTTAAATGGGTGTTTGTACTTTGTATACAAGACTGTTGTTTGCATACCACATACTTCTGGACACCAGACTAGGAAGGTTCCAGTTGGGTCTGAGCTAAAAGACTCTTCCTTGAGAACTAGCTTTGATAGAAGGTGCTATGCAAGCTGCCAAAGTGGCGGGAGGAAGCTGTCAATAGTTCTATTCAGTTGTGACACCTATGATCCATAACAATGACCCATAACCTCAAGACATTCCTAAATGTGCAAAATGACACTCATATCTTGGCAGTAACAAACAGCTCTCTAATTGGATTTAAGGCTTGCTCAACAGAAAGGAAATCGTGCCTAGTACTGGAAATTTAGCCAATTACCCATGGCCAATGAGGTTATGAGTCTTAGAGGAGAACCTACTACCACCACTTTAATAGGCCAGCAAAATTCATCAAAGAAGCTCCTATTTGCAATAGATGAAGACCATTCTAGAAAACCACAATTGGTCAAAAAGCAGATTCAGTGGTCACAGGATAGCCAGCGCCAGCATATATATCTACAACACAACCTCTGAACCCAGTTCTTAGGGAACATTACAGAAGATGGGGTGGAATGATTTGTAAGAGCCAGAGGACCAGGAAGTCCATCATGAGATTGTGTCTCCTAGAAATGACAGGGGAGCTATGCTCATGATATATCAACAATATGGTTGCTTAAGACCAATAAGAACTGCACCAAAAGACATGCTAATGTGGAAG